CCTCTAGTAATATATTTACTGAGAAAAATGGTGACGTGTTCAATACTTATTTTACCCGCTGTATTTTACCAGCACCAGAGTTCTCATCTCTCAGGAAACATTCGGGTCTAAAAACTATGTTGATAAATGTGACCCATCACATCAAACCAAGGCTTAAATTGAAATTTGTGGAGAAACATGCAGCTTTAGAGTTTTGGTTGAAATGTTTGCAACATTTGCATTTTGTCAAAATATAATAAAAAATACCATATTTGAGTCATTTAAATGAAATATGTGAAATATAACAGTTCTGAAGCCAATTTTTAAAGTTGTAGCTACAGAAAAAACAGAAAAGTTTTACATTTTTGATATTTTTCCTGCGAACTAGCAAAGCTTTCCAGCTGGTAAATCTTAATATCAAAACATTGTTTGAAGTTTCCTCTTTAGAATGACATCAAACATTCCTCATTAGAATAACCTAAAAATAGGATTCAGTCAAATATCTATGGGTTATCCTGATCAGGAAGATAAATCAAGGCATCTCTCTGGAAACGCTCTTAACAGGTATCAAAATGTTGCTTAAAAAGCAGGAATCTGAAACAAAGCTGCAGCCATTTTGACCAAATTTTACTAAATCCTCAGTTTGATGTGATGATTAAAAATCAGGTACAAATCTTGTATTTTTRTTTTTAAAGYGTACTCCAGTAGAATAAATCATGAATGTGGAGGTGGCTGCCATGGTGGATACAAAGCGAGGCGATGTGGGCAGAGATGGGCACTGAAACAATGTGGAAAGRCTAGAATGTAATTTTACAAGCTGTGCACACAAATTTAAGCCTTGAATTTCTCTAAACCTGGCTGCACACTTCGCTGTTYGCAAAAATTTGCAGATTTTCTGGCAATTCTGAGTTTCCAACCATTGCATTCAGTGAGCTACCACCTTAAATCTCTTATAGACTCATTTTTATTTGTTTTTTCTCCCTAAATGAGCAGTTCTGTGTTAAAGCAGGTACGTTAGTAGAAGGCAGAGTTTCTTACCGGTGACATTGAGTCCATCTGAGCGCTGACACCAGATAAACGGTCGGGTGGAGTTTGGCCCGCTGCTGCTGAACCACTTGTACTCGTAACATTCACCCCCTGYGAGGGAAATACAAAAACAATCAACATCTATAAACACGGTACAGTTTGAGCGCGCAGTGAAGACCATTAATCACACAAGTGACAGATTAATAAAGCACCTGCTGAATTATGGTTGTATAATAGGCTGCTGTCACATAACGTCCAGTTCAAGGTTTTTAATCTTCAGTAAGAGCTTTTGCTTAATGACTTTCTATCAGTGCTATTATGACTTTATCAATATCTCCATCAGGGCAGTAAATGACTGTATTTCCCTATGGAGTCCTGTGTAACCAATCATCGACGCAGCCAATTTCACTGTGTAAATGAACAATTTAACCTTGAACAAAAGAAAGATCCGCTCTCCACGGCCCGGGTACAGTTCCGTCGCCCCCGTCTGTATCTCCCTCTTTCACAGGACGATTTGTCTGCGGCCGAGACGACTTCATCCCTAACGTGCTTCACTCTTTAACGTTTCTTCATTTTTTTCCTTCTCGCTTCACTACGTCTGAAGTCATTTTTCAGATGTATAAAGTTATCACCAAACCGCTCGTTTCAGTCGACTCTTCCCACCGTCTTTTACGAGCAGATTGGAGTTTTAGTAAGATAACATTTCTCAGAGGAAGAGCTGACATTATTTCTGGAGGCAGATGTCACGAGAGTGCAGCGGCGTTGGATGTGTGAGGACCTTAAAGGGCCGGGACATCTGACAGATGAGGAGTTTTACCTCTAAAACCAGAGTCACTAAATTTAACTGAGCTGTGATGAAATGAGCAGCACTTGTATTGTACCTTAACCACGGTATAACGCTCATATACTTTCAAACGCCACGAAAAACTGAATGTCATTGTGCTCAGTACGATGACAATAAAGGTCTCTCTAATTAAGAGTCAGTGGCATTTTCTGAAACTACAGTTTAGGTTAAGGAAGTTGAACTCAGTCATACAAGGGGGACAAAATTCAAAACTTGGTCCAAACCAAGGGCCAATCTCTGYCAGTGTTTATTGAAAACAAGTTGGTTTTAAATGTTRTCTAACAAATTATTCTTTCCCTTTTCCGACGTAAACTTGATGTAGCGTCATTAGCCTTCATTTCTTAGGCCTTACACTGAAATATTTCATTGACTATTTCTCAGAGATACATTTTATTGCCAATAACCTAAAAAACTCACTAAAATTTCAAATATTTGACTTTAAAAATAAAAGAATACAGAATTAAAGTCCAATACCATCAAGAAAAGACTGCACTAAGTACAATGASAAAAARAGAAGCYAKTTTACWTTTAAAATATTACCTTCAGGGCYGCATAAAATTTTAACGAGGGCCAGATTTGGCCCGCAGRCCTYAGRTTTGATGTGATTTAAAGCAACAGACTAGAAAGTAAAGAGATTAGGAAGTGTTAAAACTCATGTTTTACTCTCTAATGATGCTAATTCTACCTGCAGGTAAACATTTGAGGCAGTTGTCCATAAACCTTAAACAAATACTTAGTAAGGTCCAAACAATAATGATAAAATCAGTCAAAACACCATTTTTAATCCCTGTTTATTAATGGAACATTTGAAATGTTCTGAAAATCAACAAACGTCCTGGAATCCATGTTGGTTTCGGCTGCAGCTGCTCGTCAGTTTTGTTAAACTTAGTTCATTCAAGAAACTTTCTGCTACAGAGAAAACATGAAATATTAATAAGTTTTACACAGTAACCCATTTTAATGTGGCCAAATGTTTCCTTTTTTAAAGAATAGAAGTTGGTGTTGCAGCGGGGAGCTTTGACTTCAAAGTTTGCAAAATTTACTGACATTTTCAGCAACATCAGTGTTTTTTTGTTATTGTTTCTGCCCAGTTATTGAATGAATACACTGATATTTACTCTCTGTTTAATAWTTGTTTAATCCTTCATTTATTCCCCCCCCCCAAAGTTTTAATTTTTAAAATAGTGAGGATTTATTTTATTGAGGATGTCCCTGAAGTTGTTCTGGAACCAGTTCTAGTCGAAGCRAATGTGCATGCAGGGGAAAAATATTTTATTTCTATCTGCAGCTCTTTCATTCTGGTCGTGCTGTRGTGGCAAAACGTTGGAGGAATGAGCGTTCGGTGAAAGTGTGCAACTGGGACACAGATTTGGTTTGTTTTTCTCCAGCGAGCATCTCATCAAACCGCTCCTTCCCTCCATCCCAAACCTCTTTTTGCCCGTCTCCGCCCTCTTTCTTCTGCCGCCTCCGCCAGTCTTGCCCCCCCCCCGAGCCTGGAGTGATGCTGTGAAATCAGGTCAGACTAGTGAAGACTGCTTTGGAGCTGTGTACAGTAGCCAAGGAGGAAGTGTGGAGGAGTAGGAGGCCGGGGGAGAGGGGGGATATGTGGGGGGAGTGGGCGCTCTCCTCACACTCAGCCTATGGCAACTGTACTGTATATGTGGAGCTTTACTGGTGATGATTCACAAGTCGGGCTGCAGCTGCAGTAATGGGTGATTAAGACTCCCGGGGAGCGGCAGAGATCACAACAGTCAATGAGAGCGGGCTTTCCTCACTACAGAGTTCTGACATGAGAAATCCCTTCTGGAAAACCGCCAATGAACCAGATGAGCGGACAGGAAAACAAGCTCTGGTTAGCTTTTTTTTGTTGATCTTAGTTGTATTTGGAGCTAAGAACCAAAACAATCTCTTGGTTAGCGCTGGAGCCGAACTACGATGGTGTTTTAGAGCCAAACTATGAGTTTTTTTTTTAATTTTTTATTACAAGAATAAAGTCAGAATATTGTGAGAACTCCTGCTTCAAAAGCATTGTTACCACTGTGTTAAAACAAGGAATGTTGAGCAACTTGAGAAGTTATACTTTGGTATCAGTACTAATAAAAAATACTAAATCAGTGGCAGGACTTTGACTCGATTCTGCAAATGATTGTGTTGATTAGAATGGACTTGAAAGAAATGGTTTATTTTGTGGACGAGGAGCGGTCTGGTAGGGGTCAGAGGGGGTGGTACTCCGGCGAGCGCAGCGTCTCAGGCATCGTCAGTAGAATAGCAGGAGGCCCAGCGCACTGTGGCGTATGATTCATATGATGAACTGAAGCTGAATGGCATCACAGTTAATGGCTGCATTGATAGTCRTCACATAATGTGGATTGAAGCATGTTACACGACAGTGACCCAAAAGTAATCAGATTACTTCATAAACACAGTGACAGAGGCTGACAACAGCAGGTCTGAGCCAACCCAGGAATGGAAAATAGACATCAGGTAATATTATAACTTAATTCTTGTAATAAAAAATAAAATAAAATAAAATAAAATAAAAAAACTCAAGTCTGGCCCTAATTCTCCGTCGCACCCCACTGTAAGGAAATGTGAATCCTCTTTTCTTTACAAACTGAATGTAGGACTCCAGGTTGTGTCATAGATTCGAGGTAAAACTCTTGACATATCTGTCCTGTGAGTTTGCTCGCTGCAGAAGGAAGCAGCCAAAAGACAACAGATGTTCCAGATTCCTCCAGGAAGCTTTTAGGTGTGACTCTAAATGCAAAGGTCCTCTGATGCATTAAAGGGATCCACGATTAGTTGTAACATTAGACTTTATTTAATAAACATATTTTAACTGTAAAATAAAGACTGTAAAAATACTGTAGG